ATAGGAATGGTTTACAGCTTCTCAATGGTGGTCATACTCATTTAACAAGTTAACAGCCATTATTTAAAGCAGTAAGAGAGTACAAATGAAGATTCAAAATTGTCAACGTTTTCTATTTCACTGAAACAAATGTTAAACACACGAGAGCATTATTGCCTCCTCTTTCTCTGTTATGTATGCTTTCTTTTTCTCAAATGGTGTCACTAATATATCTTTTTTCCCCATTTTTCCTTGCAATCAAAAGTGAATGGTTCATTATTTATCTGAAGTAATGGTAGAGTTTAATACATGAAGGAACAAGCAGAATTATATTATGATGTATAATCACTTCTATGAATGAGGCTCAAAATTCATTGCTTGAAGATGAAGCTTCAAATTAGCAAATATTTAAAGCATGTAAGGAGAAATATGCAATAAAAGAAACTTCTTGGAACTCTATGACAAAAATAACTGAACAGTAAAATAATAGCATGTTGAAGTGAAAATAATTTAGAATCTCAAAAGGAATTAACCTTATTTCACCATGACAATATGTTTTAATTCTTGGCGGCCAAAGATGCATTCTAAAAGCTAAGCAGAGTATTAAGAAACAGAAAAATTTAATTAGAAACTAAAGAGTACTGAAATATTACATAATATCACTTCTCCTATATGGCAGTGAATGCTAGACAATCTCCTCAAAGATGAAAAAGAGATTTGAGGATGCCATGGACCAACATGTGAGCAACAACAAAATTTTAGAAAAAAATGGAAACAAAAAGAAAACTTATACTTAACATCAGGAAGAGAGAATTTCTAGGGCACATAATGAAGAAAGTACAGACTAAAAGCAAGGAGGAAAGTACAGACTAAAGGCAAGGAGGAAAGTACAGACTAAAGGCAAGGAGGAAAGTACAGACTAAAGGCAAGGAGGAAAGTACAGACTAAAGGCAAGGAGGACAGTACAGACTAAAGGCAAGGAGGAAAGTACAGACTAAAGGCAAGGAGGACAGTACAGGAAAGGCAACAGGACATTAAAGACTAAAGGCAAGGAAGGACAGAAAAAGCAAGGAGGACAGAGAAAGTACAGACTAAAGGCAAGGAGGACAGAGGAAAATGCATAATATACTTAGTAAGCTTGAGTAAATGAATGGTGGAACAAGATTTAGGAGAAAGACAAAATTTGTTAAGAGGACAGGAAATTGTGGAGAGCCATCACCTCCATCCACAAGGGACATGACACATAAAGAAGATCTCAAATTGAATTCATATTTCATCAAATCCAGAAATATATAATTTGCTTGTAGTCAACACCCTTCTCCTTGAACTGATTTTATTAGCTTTTGTCTTTTAGATTCATTCTGTATACTTTATATTGTTCATAAATTCTTATCAAGAATTATGTGTCATCTGCATTTTTAAAAAATTAGCCTCAAATTATATGCCAAAGAATAGTTGATATAATAATGGAATTTACTTTCTCTATTGTGAATGTAATTATCTTTATGATGAAAATAATAACATGTCTGTGAATAATATGTTCTGTTAAGGAGCTTTCAGGACATTAAGTTCTTTTATGTGCTGTGTACTTTTAGGACAGAGGACAAACATGGCTCTCTACAATTTTCCTGTTGAATTTGAACTCTGCTTGTTGATTTCTTATTCCAGGCCACTAACCATTACACCAACTGCACTGTCTTGTATCAAACCCAAAATTCACATGGAAATTAGTTTCACTTGTAGAAAAAAAAGTAAATTGCATAAAAATTGATGAAATGATGAGTAGGAGTGGGGGTAGTCATTAATGATGAGAGTGGATTTGTAAGTCTTACAGATAAAAGAAAACTGGAATATGATAGATTCAACTATTAATGTCTAATCTTCTCTATTGATAGCGAATGTTCAAAAATTTCATCTCAGATGAAGAAAAGATTTAGAGCGGTAGATATTTGGTTTTTCTATCTAACGTTGAGAATAGCATAAACACAGCATGTGACAAATGAGGACAAATTTTAAGGAAAGAAGGTTTGGTGAGCTTAACACTCATTAGGCACATTTTTTTATACTAAAGTTTGTCACCTTGAATTATCTCCAAACTTGGCAAAGTTGTTTAACTGCTACCTAAGATATTTCCCCCAGTCTGTGGAGGTTGTCAGGTGTTTGTCCTGTTTTCAAGAATGCTGGTAAGAATTCATCTCCATCACAATATTATTCAATCAGCTGCCTTAAAATGTGATTAGCAAAATTCTGTGTGTATCATCAACAAAGATGTAGCTGATCTCACCAAAAACAAATTCTTGAATGACAAGCAGTACAGGTTTTTCTTCTCTCATCACCAACAGAATCTGTGAAGCATTTCAACCTCAATGGGTTATTTAAAGCTGACAAACATTTTATTGCTGGTAGTTTTTTTTTTTTTTCAAGTGTATTGCTGGTAAAATTTTTCCTTCAAAAATCTATTTCTGGTAATATTTTTTCTTCAAAAATGGATCACTTGTAATATTTTTTATTTTTGAAAAAGTATAGGTGGTAATATTTTTTTCCAAAAATGTATTGCTGGTAATAATTTTTTTCTTAAAAACTTATTGCTGGTAATAATTTTTTTAGAAAGTATTTCTGGTATTAAAACCTATTTTTAACTTTCATAGTGTTTTGACCCTAGTTTGGGGGTTAACTATTTACCCATATCTGGGACTCTAACAGGTCAGGTGGGACCTGGGAACACCAGTAATTAAGAGGTGGTTCCATGCTCCTCAAAACCTCCTGATCAGAGGGCCTTGCTGTTGGATGTAGTTAATCGTCTTACCCAGGACTGGTGAGATTTGTTCATTTTTTTTTTTTTTTTTTTAAATGTATTGCTGTTAAGTTTTTTTTATTTTTTTACTATGAAAATGTATTGCTGGTAATTTTTTCTAATGAATTTTTATATTTTCATGTTTTGACCCCAGTTTGGGGGTTCACTATTTGCCGATAGCTGGTACCCCAACAGGTGCCACCATCCCAGGTTAAGGTGGAACCTGGGAACAACAGAAATTGAGAGGTGGTTCCACGCTTCCCAAAATTTCCCAATCAGAGGCCTTGATGTAGTTTATTGTCATACCCACGATGACAGTTTATGGACATACATCCAAAAATCAAGATGGTTGGAGCCTTGCTGATAATCTTTCCTGTGACTTAACAGCTTAATGGGGAAAATAACTGGCTTATAATTTTCAATACCTCCAAAATCCAAAGTATCATTTCATCATCATTGATCAGGTCCTGGATTTTCTCTCGTCACAATAAATGGTTGCTCACAATGAGGCTCGATACTTTAAACATCCATTGGGAATCCAGACCTCAAGTAGAACTCATATATACAATTAATTGTTAAAGATGTTGGGAAAAATGGTCAGCTGACTCCACCTGTCATTTTTGCAAGAGTCAGTTTAGAACAAAAATGGTTTCTTGCTGCCATATCTGTCCTGGACCTACTCAGTCCTGACTTTCCAGTTTTAATAGATTTAATCATTTACATTGTCTTGTAGAACATTTATTCTCCACTCTACAACTTCTTTCTCACAGATATGCAACATTGCAAGGCTTTCAATATTCTGTTGCAATTTCCATTATATAAATTCAGATAAGTTCTTTTTTTTTAGTTCTGTTTGGCCAACTGACACATCCTACCATGATTATCAAGCAAAAATCTTACCATATCTCAAAGGAACTTTAATCTTTAGTTCCACCAGTTTAGACCTTTACAACTAAGACATACCATGCCACTTCCACAAAGTAAAATCGTCATTTCCCCTGTATTCCAAATGTAAAGAGTAAATTCCACTAAGACAGCCTCTTCACAAAATTGTGTCTGTAGAACAGACTCCAATGTGGATGCTTCCTTGAATACTACAATCTTAATCTCTTTAAGTCAAGAGTTAATCATTATCTTTCCTCTTTCATTCATACCACTTCATTCATTGTAACCTTAACAGTAAGCCTCTAACTTGAGTGGCTCTTGAACCTTGTATTGAGTGAAGTTTGAAATGTCAAGATAACTTTAATGTGAATTAAAGTTGATAGCCATAAAATAATTATGCTGTTGTAAAAAATATTAGAAGCACTTCTGAAAAAAAACCCAAAAAAAAACCACAGACCATCCCTCAATCACACCTTGAACAAGGCCAAAGTGTCTTGGCTGTGTTCAAAAACTAAAGAAAACCTCCACTAAAAACGAAATTACTACAATTACTCTCACAAAACAAAATAGTAAACAAATCAATAAAAAAAATGAATAAAAATCTCACAAAATATTCATCTCTCTCTCTCTATATATATATATATATATATATAATTTTCAAATAAATTATATTTGCTCTGTATTGAGCTCTCTTTTAAGAATAGTATTTTTGGTTATTCAAATTTATTCTGTATACACCAATCCTATATATATATATATATATATATATATATATATATATATATATAGATAGAATATAGTTTTATGGTATGCTTAATTTATGGGTTAAAGTGTTCAGTATCAGGGATAGATGGTAAGTAAATATAAAAGTTGACATTAAAGTCAATATCCAGAGGCGACAGTCTGTTTCATGCTTAAATGCAATCATTAGGCAATAAGAAAAAAAAAGATTGATAGGCCTAATGATTTCATTTAAGAGGAAATGTTGCCTTTAGATGTTGACTTCAATATTCACACACACACATACACATATATATAATATACATACTCTTCCTCACTGGTAGCATGACTGAGTTTCATGCACAACACAATCTTCAAGTGCAATCTTCAGCACTTGAAGATTGTGTTGTGCATGAAACTCTGAGTTGTGCTATCAGTGAGGGATAATATGTATATTTATTAATATATATACTTAATAGCTCTGTTATATTACATTGAGCACTATTTTGTTAACACCAGCACTCAATGTGCACTATCTTTCATATATATATATATTTATTTTAAACTCTCAGGTGATCTTCATAGAGCTCCCTATAATGTGTGTTTGTGAGATTCAGTGAAGTCAAAAAATGAAAAACATACAAACTAACTCACCTGCTGTTTTTCCACCCAGCAATCTGAACGCCTGGCTCAGCAGGTTGAGGGAAATGATGAAAACATAGAGGAAGAAGTGGATACATATTAATTTGATGCTTATCTGTAGAACTCGTATCACCTTGCCACATGTATCCAACTCTGTAGGGAATGAAAACGAAGATGATGAGTCAGTGGCGTATGGGCAGAATCCGGCCTGCACCAATTTCAACTCCATTTTGCAAACTATTTCAAACATGGACATGACAATTGTATCAAAATGAGAGACAAACAAAAGAAGAGTAGAAAATGTTTCACTTATCCTTGGTTAATAAAAAAAAAATCAAAAAACTTCCCTCATCCTTCTCCAAAGAACATACATTTTAGATTGTTACTAATGTTTGGTGTGGATGCTTCTCAGATTACAGTAACAGGTAAATGGTAAATAATTCCCCAACATGCTATATACACACATATATATATATATATATATATATATAGTGTGTGTGTTTTGTGTGAGAGAGATATTGAGTTTTGTAAATGTACCATTTTTTAAAAAGTTCAATTAGCTTTATTTTGGAAATGGATGTCACTAAACTTCAAGGAAAGAATTTCTAAGAATATCTCTACAATGTAGAATTATTCCCAAATATATAGAAACATGTTCATATCTAATAATGATAATTACTGACATTCACATTAGACATAAACTATCAATGAAATTAGCCACTAATGCTTATAAGTAAATTAATATATTAGCATGATAAAATGTTACTTGGCAACTGAAATATATCTATATTGAATTTAAAAAATATCTCTGTCCGTATGTTTTATCTAACAATGATAGGTGATCCATCAAAAGATCATTTTCTATTAAAATGTCAGTTTTTAAAAATAAAAAGATCTGATTTTCTTGTTCATGCTTTGTTTAATGTATTTCTACAATATAAAAAACAAAATAGCATCACCATCTTTTTGAGATGAGAAATTGTAATTATTTACATCATTTGGAATGTTGTCATATTCACAACATTTCAGACATTGTATGCTTCAGCCTTCTCCAGGTGATATACATTGGAATTTCTACCCCTGTGGACTAAATAAAGGATTTGATTCAAAATTCCAATGTATAGCACCTGAAGAAGGCAGGAGCATATAATGGCTGAAACTTTGTGAATATGGCAATAAAGATGAGGACAACAGTCCAAATGATATAAATAGTGAAAAATAAATAGATTTTCTCTAAGGTTTGTAAAATGTATCTTATTTTGAAAGTTGTTTTGTCTTTACTTACAAAGTAATTTTGAGGAGAAAACAAGTTTGAGAACTTAATAATAAATATAATCAAAATTAACATTCTAACAGTACAATATGTAGCATTATTAAATATAGCAATGAATACAATGTGTTTAAAATATCATAATCAAAAAAAGTCAACCTGAAATGATAATAGCATGTATAAATACCAAAAAAAAGTCTTAGTAAACATTTCTGTACAAATAAAACAAAAATCTGTGAAGCTCTTCACAAAATTTTCAGTTATTAAAGTCTGATACAAAATGGTCACAGCCATTATCATTTATTGACAGGCAAAACATTAAATAAAACTAAGAATATTTAATTGAAATTTTTCTCAAAAAATTTTTCTTGTCCATGCTTTGTTTAATGTATTTCTACAATATGAAGAATGAAATAGCATCATTAAGATGTGTATAGATTTCATTATGAAGATGATCTTGCTAATAACAATTGGCTTTAACATTGCTATTAATTTATGAGCAATAATAAATATTTTTTATTGGATTTCACCTACTTTGTAGTATTAATAGCAACATTATTTTTATTTTTTTATTAAATGAAATATTAACCATTATTATAGATTTTTGACTAGTATATACTTTTTATCTTCCCTTTTTATTAAATGAAGCATTGTCAATCATTATTATTTACTTTAATCTTAATTTTTAGTTGCTTGGAAATAAAGTAATAATATTTGGAGTTTATTTTTTATTTTCTTTCTGAACTGCCTACTCACTGTTACAGATTGATGGCCTGAGTAAGGCTGTAATTAAATGCAATTAAAAATGAAGATGTAAATAAATACAAGTCAAAAATTGAAACTAAGGGATTACATATCTTTAATTTTTAAAATCTGGTAATATATTTTAACTAGAATAGTATCTATCAGAAATTATTTACATATGCATCAACATTTGTTTAAGATTAAACTATGCCCTCTACCAAGGCTCAAAGTGTTGCACCTGAACACACTCTCTGCCTAGGATCAGAGTGTAGTATCTGTGTGTTCTTGGAAAAGTATTACACACACAAAAAAGATTGATCTATCTAAATTATAACAGCTATTGATACACACTAAATAATTTAATGTTTGTCTAGTTGGAAGACATCTGTCAAGAAAATTCTCAATAGCATTCTAACTAAATTTTCAAATTTCAAATTTTCTGTATGGAAAACTGCTAATCCTGAGACTTTATTACAATAACTGAAAACCTAAACATTCAATATTTTCTTTTCAATTCAATTTTATTTTATATCAACAGTATGGACATAGGAATCAACTCTGCATGGTGACTATTAATTTCAAGTGGATTTATTGCTTCCAATCTTTTATTTATATACAAATTTAACTTCTATAGATTTGTAAAAAACAGCAGTTTGTTTTGTTTGTGTCTTGGTTAAATTAAAGGAAATTCTATTAAAAAAGATTACATTTGTTTGCCTGTCTTTTAAAGAGAGAGAGAGAAAGATGGGATTGAATATAATTCTAATCAAATGGAGTTCATAGTCATATTGTTTTGCTTACTCCTCTTTATATACATCACTTTATTATTATTGTTATATAATGTCTTAATCATTGTGTAAAATTACAGAGAATCAAGTGTTTCATAAACCAAAGTAAAATTAAGTGGCATTTAAAATATGAAGTCAGTTTTTGAAAAGAGAAAAAGATTAAAATATTTTGGAGAAAAAGATCAAATGAACAATGACAATAATTGTTTTTTTATTTTTATTTCCTGGACATTGTGTTAGAGGTTCACAGATTGTCATTGCTCAAGATAAAAATGACAAAAATAACAAATAATTTTTCAAAATGAGACAAAGCAATGTGAAAAGAAATATTTGTTATACTTATCTGGTCTGCAGATATTCTGCATTTGGGAAGGACAAATAGACAATTATTTAATAAACATATATGATGTACAAAACTGCAAGAAACTGTGAACAGACTATACATGCATCTAATTGTGGTAAAGGGCAGTGTATTTGCAAATACTGTCACACTCTGCACTAAAAGGATAGAGAATTCAGCTTCTCACCAATATATCAAATTAGTTATTGCATTTTTTTCTACGTTTTGGAGGGAATTTTGAAAGAGGAAAATTTAAATTTAACTTTTCAAAACCTATGATTTAAAATGTCTCCTTGTCAGTAATTTTCACCTGAGGTTTTAAAGTCATTAAATTACAATATATTGTTTGTGTTTATTTGACAAAACTTTCTTTTTATCAGATGATTTTAAAATTTAGTTTAATACAGAACATATTTTATCCTAAAATTAAATTTCATCCTTAAATTAGAACTGAAATTATCAAATCATAGCAACAAAAAAAATATAATAAATATAAAACATAAAATTCACATTCAATTATTTTCACATTTCTACAAAATCCAGGGAAAAAAAGGATTAAATAACTCATCATAATTGATTAATCTGAATGTAATCACCTTGTTATTTTATATACACATTTTATTTTCGAAAAACATTAATAAATTCTTGAATAAAATTGTATATAAAAATAAGACAAAACAATCATATTTAGATTATTCTATTAATCTCTTAAAAAAAAAACAAAAAAAAACAGATTATAAGTAATTAGTACAATGTATAAAGTTTTATCCAGAAATGATTTTATTTTTGATCTTTAAAAACATAATTGCAATATCTTCAATCAAACTGATTTTTTTTCAAGATCTAAATTTTAAAATCTTTACTACATAGTGAAATAATAAAGAAGCCATATTGTTATTTAAACTTATTGTTTGGTGAATTTAATACTAAATATCAATATTTGATGATTTGTTTATATGAATTTATATTGATATAATATCAGTTTCAATGCGATGTGCATCTTTTAATTGTAAATAAACAATAAAATCCTGATTATTACTGTTTTCATATATATTTGCACATCACAATGATATAATCTTATTGATGAAAAATAATTTATGATTTTTCCAATGTCATTTTACTAAATATGCAGAAAAAAAAGTTCTCCTGAAACCTAAATTTTGATACATTGGTGAGAAAAGCTCATTTAATTTGATGAAAGATTTGTGGCAACCATAAAGAAATTTTCTACAAAAATGAAAGATTTATTTTTACTTCACTCCCGAAACAGTAAGTTTCAAAGAAAAAAAGAATCTACTTAAGTATTTTAAAGGAAACTGGTAGCAGTGTATGACTATAAATGTATATTAACTGCATTTGATATTAACACATCTCACCAATGTCATCCTTTCTGGACAATGGTCTAAATACATAAGATAGAAAATATACACAAGACCAAGCAAGGATTTGATAACAAGAATTCATATGCAGAGCTTTCCTTATGATTTTCAAGTTCTATAAGAATCACTATGAAAATAGAACCATTTTGCTACAATGACATACAAAGAATATTATCAAAGACGACCTACAATGGAGACTGAAATCCATTGCCATGACACTCTTTTCTTAACCTTTCCTCATACTGGTGTTATCACACTCTGCCATATTGACTATACATCCAACTTTTTTATGTAACTATTTAAACCTAAATAATAAATTGTTGCTCTAAAGATATAAAAAATAGCATTCTTTCTACAAAGGGATGTGTTGTTGGCAGTTGAAACTAGAGTTCCAACATTGTGAACATTTCTTCACAATGGCTAAATGCCTATAAGTGGCAAAAAAATTGGTGTGTATGATTAGAATTTTTAAATTTCTCCCTCGGGGAAAAGTAACATTTCATTCTTGTCACACTCTATAAAAATTCATCAAAATATAAAGGCTAATTAACAACTATTACTACTACTACTACTACTAATAATAATAATGGTAGTAAAGAGTAGATGCTGACGATGATAAGGGGTGCAGAAGT